CCACCCTCCCTATCCCACCCCTCCAGACAGCCACAAAGAACCGAGCCGGTTTCCCTGTGCCATGCGGCTGCTTCCCACTGGCTATCTACCTTACGTTTGTTAGTATATATATGTCCATGTCTCTCTCTCGCCCTAACACACCTCACCCTTCAAGGAGGAGGACATTCTGGTGGCCACTGAGGTGATGAGCCTGTGGTGCCCGAGGGGCATCCAGAGGAAGATGTCCAGGAACAGGCTGAGTATTGGAGGTGGGGGTGGGGTGGACCAGAGCCATCACACAGGCGGAAACAGGAGCCGTGCGAATGCTGCCATGACCAGGAGAAGGTGCAGAGTCTAGGAAAGAAGACCCCACCTGGGACAGAAGAGGACCAAATGGTGCCTGGTGATCAAGCCCATAGGCCCTGGGAAGCAAATGTTGAATTTCACACTCACTGCAGTGCCCAGAGAGTGCTGAGTGTGGGCAGTGGAGATAAGGGTGCAGACGACTCTTTAAAAAAGCTTGGTGATGAGGGGCTTCCCTGGTGGCGCAGTGGTTGAGAGTCCGCCTGCCGATGCAGGGGACACGGGTTCGTGCCCCGGTCCGGGAAGATGCCACATGCCGCGGCGCGGCTGGGCCCATGAGCCATGGCCGCTGAGCCTGCGCGTCCGGAGCCTGTGCTCCGCAACGGGAGAGGCCACAACAGTGAGAGGCCCGCGTACCGCAAAAAAACAAAAAAACAAAACAAAACAAAAAGCTTGGTGATGAAATAGAGAAGAAAGAGAGGATGATAACTAGAGAAGGGAGAGGGATTGAGACTTTTTAACCACAAATGGAAAAAGGTGGGGAGTGGGAAAGGCTAAGTTTGTTCATCGAGAATAATATCAAAACCTCTGCATCTGTAGGATGTGCCCCCATCCCACCCTCCCAGATGCAGGGAACCACTCTCCTGGCTTATTTTTCAGCTTCCTAAAAATGATGCCATACTGCATGTGATCTACTGTCACCTGACTTTTTTTCCCCACTCAACATGATGCTTCTAGCATTCATTGAATGTTCATCCATAGTTTTTCATCTTCACTGCTATATAATAGTCCATTGTGTGAATATAGATCATCTTCTAGTCATTCTCTTGGTGATCATTTGGATGGTTTCTACTTCTTTTATTATCTTATTATATTATTATCTTTTATTGGAAAAACATTGCTATGAACTTTTTTGTACCTGTCTCCTGAGACACACATGAAAGACTTTCTCTAGGACAGTGATATTCAAAGTGCAGTCTGCAGGCAAATAGTCTGCAGACTGTCACTGGTCCTGACAAGATATGTACAGAAATTGACAGTAAGCATTTAGAGACTTGCATAGCAATTTGACATTGCTGTGACACTCAAACTGTGATCACTTTTCTAGGAATTTATTTTTATTGTATCTTACTGAACAAGCAGTCCAGGATAGACTTTTTTTTTTTCAGGTGGTTCACCATAGAGAGTTTGAGAAGCACAGCTCACCTTCTAGTGCTCATCTGCTCGATATACATACACACTCATTTCTGTCCTTCAGGTGCTTTTGTTTGTCCATTTTCATCTGTGCTTTTCATCTTCTTTCTTGTCTTTTTTTTTTTTATAATCACTTTTTGTTAGTTTTCTTATTCTTTTTTTCCCCAGCTTCTATTTTTGTAATGGCTACCCCTGAGACTTTACTATGAATATCAAATAAATTCTAACATAAATCAATATTTTGATCCTCCTCTAACAATACAAGAAACTTAGAACACTAATTTCAAGTACTCTGTCCTAGCTAACATTATTTTCTTCAGTTTCTAGTTCTTTTTTTCAGTCCTACAATTAAAGCTTCATCATCAGCATCATCGCTATCATTATTTAGGAAAGAAAATAATTATATTTGCCTAATGTTTTACTGATTTCTTTGCTCCTATTACTTCTTGCATTGAGAACTCCCTTCAGAGTCATTTTCCTTAATTCAGAAGCACATCTTTCAGAAGTTCCACTAATGAAGGTCTGCTGGAGGTTAACTGTTTTTATTGTTTTGTCTTTTTTGTTGTTGTTCTTTTTTGTTTTTGCTTTTTTTCTGAATCTCTTACCTTCATTCTTGAAATATAATTTCTCCACAATTATGGGGTTTTTATTTTTCCTCAGCTCTTTGGAGATTATATTCTATTGGACATTGGTTTCCATTGTTGTTTTGAGAAGTATGCTGTCAGTCCAGTTATTGGTTTTTGTTTGTTAATTTTTGTCTTTTGTAGGTAACCTGTCTTTTCTCTCTGGCTGATTTTTAAGATTGTCTCTTTGTATTTGGTGCCCTATACTTTAACTATAATGTGTCTAGGTATAGATTTTTTTTCCCTGATTGATATACATTGTCCTTTCTGTATCTGGGGATGCATGTTTTTACATTAGATCTGAAAATTCTCAGCCGTTCTATTCAGATATTGCTCCTGTATTGTCTTTATTCCCTTGTCCGGGAATCCAAATAGACCTGTTAGGCTTCTTATTTTAAACTTATTCCACTTATCCTCTCTTTAATATTTCTATATCTTTGTCACTCTGTGGTATTCTAGCTGATTTCTTCCAGCTCAGTCTTCCAATTCTTTAATTCTCTCCTCAGCTGTGTATAATCTGTGTTTGCCCCATCCACTGAGTTTTAAATTTCAACGAGTATATATTGAATTTCTTAAAGTTCTATCTGGTTCTTTTAAAAATCTGCCCGGTCATTTTTGAATCTCTTGTTGCCTGCTCATTCTTGTGAGTCTACCTGTTATTTCTATATACATTCCATTTATTTTATAGTCAACATCTGATAATTTTAATATCCTATATCCTTGAACATCTAAGTCTCACTAGTCTCTGATAAATGCTGATATGTATACTTGCCTTTAGGAGAGGTGCTCCTATTGAATATTCTTGTTGCTCACAGCTCCAGCTCTACGTTCATTTCACTCGATTTTCAAGGTAGGACAGGTGATGCTGAAGGAATTACTTCACTTAAAGATTTATCTTACTTCCTATGAGTCCAGAATTGCATGAAGAATAATATTTTTCTCAAGAATCCAGTTTTGTAGTGAGAGGACCTTTTGGAAGACCTGGTCCACCACACTCCCAGAAGCTGACACTTTTTAACCCTGGTCTCAGGTTAAAATTTCAAAGAATGGTGGGAATAGGGAAGAGTGGTTATAACCCGTGTTCAGGGGTCTTGGGAAAAGGAAGTCATCATAATTTGGTCAGGGGCTTAGAGAAACCACCCTATATATCTGTAAGGTGCAAATAAGACCAGCTCTGGGCTGGAGCTGTGTCACACTGGCTCACAAGAGTCAACTGTGTGCATCTTTGCCCAACTCTGAATTCAGTGACAACATGTTGGTAGGTTGAAATTGGCAGATGCTATTCAACCTAATTAGAGTTGTATTCTGTTTTGTTTTGAGACCTGGTTGTTAGACATTTACCAGTATACCACTGGGAAAAACCCTCCACAGTCTGGCTCCGCCCATCGATATCCCACTGACACTGCCAGCCCGTATGAACCCTCTGATCCATCTAGAGTAGACAGTGAATGGTCCCTGATAAATGCACTCATTCTGGCCCTTCACCCCTGCTGTGGTAACTCTGAACCCAGGACGTGCACCTCCTCTACCCTGGTTCCTTCCCGACCCCCCTTAGATCCTCCCATACCCACAGCGACAGCACTTTGTCCCTCACTGACTCAAGGCCACGACTGATCCCACTGATCTTGTGAGAGTGCATATCTTGTCTGAACAGTCTTTCAGAGCTGTCTATACCACTCCCCTTACACTTAACCACATCCTGTCTCGTGTCGCCTCTTCCATGACTGCCCTGAATTTCCAGGTGAACCATTTATTATCATTCAACACTTGGTATGAACTTAAATAAACATGCATTTTCACCACGTATGTGAATGGCGGGCAGCAACTGCTATCCTGGACGAAGTTTGAGACTAGACACCTGCACCCCAGGTTCAAGTTGGCCCTGCCACCAACTCACTGTGTGACCCTGGGTGTGCCAGTCTGAGTGTGGCTTCTTACCATCACTGTGTCCCCAGTACCTAATATCTGTCATATAGTAGGTGGAGAATAACCATTGGTTGACCTTAAGTAAAATCCCCTAGCTCTCCAAGTCCACATTTAAACTAGATCAGGTGATCTGAAAACATCCTTTCAGCACTCTTATTTGATGGTTTGATGTCTTGTTTCCAAAACTAAATTGTACACTCCTTGAGGGCAAGGTCTTCTTATAGAGGACAACGTGGTCTAATGGAAAAAGCACAGGCTTTGATGTTGGATGTATCTGTTTTTGAATCTCTGCTCTACCACCTACCGGTTGTTTTGCCTTAAACAAGACACTTGATGGAGAAGATATTTTAAATCTGCTTCATTAGATCCTATAAGGATTAATTTAGACAATGCCAGTAGAGCACCAGGCATAGTGCCTGGCACACAGCAAGGTTTCCCTGCCAGGGGGTCTGTGGGGCCTCTGCAGTTTCATTCCACAGTGGCTGCAGAGCTGCTATGTGTGGCCTGAAAATCTATCAGGGTGGATGTTCTGACGCATCCCGTCTTCCTTTTTGATTAGACTGTGGTCAGAAGTTTGAGCCCCCAGGCTTTGAGGAGACCATTCCCTCCCTCCATCTCTAAGACCATTCCAACTCCCAAAGCAGAGAGGTGTTGGTTCTGAACTCTCATTCCTTTCCCCTCTGCAAAGCTGTTTCTTTATGACCATCCCCCCTCCCCCCGACCTGTGGTGCAAGTCCCACCAGGCCTGGGCCAAGGCTGAGAGACACAGAGGGAAGACAGAGCCACCAGGGCTCTGCTGGAGCTGGGCCTCCTGTGCGTGAATGAAGGCCAGGCACACAGGAGAGGCAAGCAGGTGAATCTGGCATCTGGCAGATGATTTCCCTTCTCTTTTTCAGGAAATCAAAAGCTACTCCAGAAAAGGCTGAGCTTATGGGAATGCAAGAGGGCGAGGTAATTTTAAATGTTCATAATCTCTTCTAAGAGCAGGCAGTGGAGCCAGCTCTGGGAGGATTTAACTCTGCAAAGGCCTCTAGCCCCACCTGGCCTCTCACTGCCCCACTGGGCGCTCAAAGCCAGCACCTGGACCCTCATCCAGAGGCCAGTGAGACACTTCCTTCCCTACCCATTAGATTTCTAGGGAGTCTCCAAGGCATCATCTCTCAGCCCATAGGCCACAGCTCCAGACGCAGGGTTTACTACTGGGATTTCTCTACCTCCTGATCCCAGATTCTCAGTTGGGAGAGAAACAGGCCTAAAACTCACCAACAAATTCTGGCGTCCCAAAAATGTTCTTAAATTCAACTCCATCTTCTATTTCATGAGCCAGGCCAAAGTCAATCAGCTTGATGTGTGGAATGGGAATATTCTTATCCAACAACATAATGTTTTCTGGCTGGAGAACAAAAAAAGAGAAGAAAAGGGATAAAAGAAAAGATGGTAATTAAAGCCCTATTTTATGTTTTTACTTTGGTTTTGGGGTGGGGTTTGGTGTTCTTTTTTGGGACACCAAAACAGCATAAACACTTTCTTGTTTTTGTGTCCTCAGTCTTCTCCTGTGAACTCAAAAACAGCCACAACGCCAAGGGCAAGGCCTGGGCTTTACCAAACCTGCTGCTGACAGCAGAACCAGACTCTGGCTTTAATCCTGTTTCTGTCTCTGCATGGCAGATCCCTTTAATGCAGTGCCTCTGTTTCCCCATCTGTCAAATGGGGCCAGGGAGATACTTGCAGCATTTCCTGTAAACAAAACCACTGCCTCTCTGGGTGTATGTGGGTGGGGAGGGGCACTGCAACGTAGCCTCACTTTACACATGGCTTATTGACCTCCATCTTCCTGACCACCTCTTTCCCCTGGCCGGTCAGCTTCCTGTGGACAACACTCCCCTCCTGTAGACTAACAGTGTGGCTCACACTTCTCTATGTGTTTAACTAACATTGGCCCTCAGTGGGACACAGGAAAAAAAACACCTAATTTCCAGGGAAAATACCAGCTGCCCAGACTATTCCCAGCCCAGTAAAAGAGCTGCCAGATCTTGGGCTTCCCTGGGGGCGCAGTGGTTGAGAGTCTGCCTGCCAATGCAGGGGACACGGGTTCGTGCCCCGGTCCGGGAAGATCTCACATGCCGCGGAGCGGCTGGGCCCATGAGCCATGGCCGCTGAGCCTGCGCGTCCGGAGCCTGTGCTCCGCAATGGGAGAGGCCACAACAGTGAGATGCCCATGTACCACAAAAAAACAAGAAACAAAAAAACAGCTGCCAGATCTAACACAACAGTGCCGGGGGGGGCGGGCGGGGTGTGTGTGTAGGTAGGGGGACAGCCCTGCCCTGGCCTCACTCAGCCCAGGCTCCCAGTGAGGCTAGAACAGGATCCTGAGCCTAGCCTTCTCACTCCCACCCAACCACGCGGAGCACTCAGAGGGTGAGCAGTCCCTCTGATTCATCTTCTTCCCTGCTACTCCTCGCCAGGACCATCCTAGATCCCATTCGAAATGGAAAGCCTTGAAAACACGCATCTACACAAAAACTGGTACACAAATGTTCACAGCAGCATATTCATAATAGTCCCAAAGTGGAAGCAACACAAATGTCCATCAACTGATGAGTAGGTAAACAAAATGTGGTATATCCATACAGCAGAATACTATTCAGCCATAAAAAGGAATGAAGGCGGAGAAAAAAATAAAAAGGAATGACGTATTGATACATGCCACACCATGGATGAACCTTGAAAACATGGTGCTAAGTGAAAGATCAGTCGCCCAAAACCGCAGATTATACAACTGCATTTATATAAGATATCCAGAATAGGCAAATCCACAGAAACAGAGTAGATGAGGAGTTGCCTGGGACTAGGGGATTGGGGAGTGACTGCTAATAGGTACGGGGTTTCTTTCGGGGGTGATGAAAATGTTTTAAAATTGATTGCAGTGTTAGATGTGCAACTTTGTAAACTGTAGACTTTAAATGGGTGAAGTACATGCTAGGTGACATATAAATCTCAATAGAGTGGTTTTAAATCAATAGATAAGTAAATAAATAAGTGTTTAAGAAAACTGAATGTCCCTGTTTCTCAAAGTACTGGAGAATTTCCCACCTTGCACTTTGGCTCTCATCATCTGCTCTACCTGGAAAGCCTCTGCTCAATCTCAGCCCACCGAAATCCTAGCCAGGCTTCAAAGTCTAACTCAGTCCACCTCTTCCTCGAAACCTTTCCTCAGCAGCACTGAACCTTCTCCCCCCATCCACAGACGTGAACCCTCCCTCCCCCGGGGCCCCTTCATGCTCATTGGAACCTTTCTGCTATGACAGTTGTCACACTCTCTTGTCCGACAGTCCTCGATGACTGTCCTCGATGCTCTACTGGACCCTCAGCTGGAGGGAGGATTCAGGTCTTTGCATCTCCACCCCCCGCAGCGCAGAGCTCAGAGGGGGGCAGGTGGAGGGTGGCCCTAAAAGTTGGCTGAACTGATTCTGAATCTGCGTTGAAAACAGCCCAGGTGTCCCCATCCCGAACTTCCCTGCTCCCTGGTCTCTGTGACTTCACTTCACAGTGGCTGGAAACTTTCACTCAAGTGAGTTGGATGAGGAATCCCTCCTTTTTGTCCCTTTTTTAAAAAAAAAAAAAAAATATATATATATATATATATATATATGTTTCATTTTGCATTTTAAAGGTGTGTTTATTCTTTTCCCCCTCTGGAGATTTCTCTCAACTTATTTTGAAACTGTGTCAAAGCCCTTTCCCAAGGCAGGGCGGTTCCTTACACTCTGCAGAAAGGAGAGTGAGGGCAGGGGGAGGTCAGGACACAGGATGCAGGCTTGGGGCCCCTCCAGTGCCCTGACCCGGCCCTCCGGTGGCTGCCCAGGGACCCCAAGCAACCTGGCACCCCATGTGGTGAGCTGCACCCTCCCCGCTGCCCACCGTCTCCTGAGCAGGGGGCTTCTCCTCCCTCCATTCCACCATGTTCCTCAGCCACCTTTTGGGAGCTTCTCTCTTCCTGGGAACGGCCCTGAGGCTTCTCCCTGGGGCTGAGGGGCCCAGTCCGGGGTCCTCCTGACCACCACCCAAAACCCGCTGAACAGCCCGGGAGCCGCAGTGGACAGAGGCAGACGCACTAGCCCTGGTGGTCCCCAGGACTGGGGGGCAGTAGGGATGGGGGGCAGGGACCCCACAGGAAGGAAGGAGGAACATTTGGAGGCAGGATTCTCCCAGGCATTCCTTCAAGGAGGCACTCAGGGGGAGAAAGGGACTCAAAATAACAGCTCCCATTTATTTAAAGTTTACTAGGCACCAGGCACTGCAGTGATGGTTTTGTGTCTATTAGATCATTTAATTCCATGGACATATATACACTACCAAACGTAAAATAGATAGCTAGTGGGAAGCAGCCGCATAGCACAGGGAGATCAGCTCGGTGCTTTGTGATCACCTGGAGGGGTGGGATAGGGAGGGTGGGAGGGAGGGAGCCGCAAGAGGGAAGAGATATGGGAACATATGTATATGTATAACTGATTCACTTTGTTATAAAGCAGAAACTAACACACGATTGTAAAGCAATTATACCCCAATAAAGATGTAAAAAAAAAAAAAGTGAGAAGCATCCTTGCCTCCTATCCTCTCACCTTGGTGGCCCACAGTCCAGGGGAAACAGCCTCTCCAATGGCTTGTGAGAACCTCTGTGCAAGGCCACGTTTTCTCACCTGAGTCCCATCTGTCCCCTGCCCCACCCCAAGAACCTATCACACAGCAGATGACTGCTCCCCTGCGTGGGACACTCTCCCTGCACTGTCCCTACCCCCAACCTGGCTAATTCACATTCACATTTCAGCAAAAATAGTACCTCCTCCAGAAAGCCTCCCCCTGCTGCCCACACCCACCACTTCCCCAGTTCCCATCAAACCCTGCACCTCCCCTATTTCAGTGCTTTTCCCACTGCCTCGAGCTTGTCAGTTTACTGACCTGTCTGCCCCACTGGGCTAAGCGCTTCCCGAGGGTTTAACTCCTATCAACTACCCAAAGGTTAGCATAGAGCCTGACATCCACCAGGTGCTCGGTAAATGTTCCCCGAGGTGCCATTTAGTAAATCCCTACAACGTGCAGGTTCAGTGCTAACCAGGCACATGACATACTTTATACTTCATTGACCCTCTCACTACCTTATACTGCGGGTGCTTACCATTCCTCTTTCTTAGGAAAAGAAACCAAAACTGAAAATATACTGATTCATGGACCAGGGAGTTTAACCTCCTTCTGTCCGACTCCAAAGCCTGTGCTCCTAACCACTAGACTAAATGGTCCCCCTTCCCTGCTTCTCAAGGGTCCTGGGAATCTATCCCAGGAAGAAGTGGGAATGCAGCTTGGGCCTAGCAGCCTGGGGCAAATTCGCACCCTGGCTCAGGCACAGCTATTTTCCTGCCCCGACACCTGTTTCCCATCCCAGGATGCCTTTCTTCCTGTGATGCTTTCACTCTGGTGAGCATCCCCAAGCCCCACCCTTGGCCTGGCCCTCATGCTGTGTCCAGAGACTCAGAAAGGAGCGTCAGGACCTCCTGGGCTGAACCTCCTCGTTTCAGTGAGAAAACAGAGGTCCTGTCAAAGAGAGTCCCAAGATAGGTCTGCATAAAGTGATGGGGGTCTAGGGGTTTCAGGCTGGGAGGTGGGGCCCCCCAAGAATGCTCTGCTAGGTGGTGGAGACCTGGGTCCTTGTCCCCACCTCACTCACTTCTCACAAGTTGGATCATTTGGACCAGATGCACCTTCACCTCAGACCAGCCCTGACTGGGAGTACACAGAGGTCACAGGCTCCCTGCCACCAATGCTTCCTACTTCCTGCCCAGGCTACCAAGGAGATTCTAGGCTGGCCAGGGGACCTGGACCCCATATCTGCAGCTTCTCTGACTTTCAGCAAGGCTTCCTTCTTGCTATCCCAACCTTCAGTAATAATCTGATGAGGCAAGGAAGCAAGGCAGGGACTGACATTTACCGCACATCTACCAAGGCAGGCATTGCACTAGTGCTCTATGTCATCCTTGCAGCCACCCTGAGTGGTAGGCACTATTATCAACCCCATTCCGCAGATGAGGAAACAGAGGCTTAGAATGATAAAACATGCACCCAAGGTCCAACAGCTCATAATGGCAGAGTCAGGATGAGCTTCCCGGGAAGTCCAGCTCCTGCTCTCTCCACCACAGCACCCTATTTGGTTAAATATCTTCAGTGGTCCTACTGACCACCAGACAAAGTCCAAATGCCCTGCCTGATATTTGAGGCATCTGAGGCTCTGCACTTTCCAGCCTCACTGCCCATCACTTGCCTGCACCTGTCCTATATCCCCTCAGGATGAGCATTACCAGGCCCAGGATGACATCTCTATTCCATCCTTTACTCTGGCTC